CTGTCTCTTGTCTTTCTCATGGAAACAAATAAGCTATAAAGAAAGAAGAAAAAGAAAGAAGGAAAAAGAAAAAAAAACAGAAAAGTGAAAGAAGAAGGAAGGAAGGAAGGAAGGAAGGAAGGAAAAAAGAAGAAAGGAAGGAAGGAAGGAAGGAAGGAATAAAAAAGAAAGAATAAAGAAAGGAAGAAGAAAGAAAGGAAGGAAGTTAGTTCCTGGGCTTTTCCCATGGCCTAATAGTTAAGGGAGGAAGAGTCCACATGTTTGAATCCTGGCCTTGGTGGCTTAAAAAGCAGGCCAGATACATGTGTATGTGCCCCAAATTCTGATAGGAGGGAGAAATGAAGAGATGGGATTGTGGTGTGAATCGCCCCTCCTCCCATTGTGGGTGTGTTCTCCCTCTTCCTCTGTCTGTCTCTGTATCTCTTTAGTGAGTACAGGTGCCCTCTGGCAATTAAAAGAAAAAGCTCCTTCTGGTGCATGAGATGTCTTCAGGTTCATGGTTGGTATTAGGTGTAGGAAAGGGAGTAGCTGACATAGAAGAGGGAAAAGAAAAGCATAAGTACCTACCTCTCCCATTTCCTGGGACTGTCTCAAGAACAAACGGGAAATAAGAGACGAAAAGAAAATGAGATGGAATTGAAGAATCATTTGTTGGACATACAGGAGTGACAAAGAGGGCAATTCAGAGTCTTACATTAAAAAATTATAGTAGATGAGGAAAGAATAGTGATTTGAGAAAGACAGCAGATTCTTTTTTTAAAAAAAGTATTATCTTATTTGACTTTATTTATTTCTTTACTTATTTTAATTTGACTAGAAGGGGGGAAGCGAGAGAAAGAGGAGAGAGAGAGAGAGAGAGAGAGAGAGAGAGAGAGAGAGAGAAAGGGAAAGTGAGAAAGCCAAACCCAAGTTGCCAGGTCCAGGACTCGAACAGCAGTTAGCCATGTGGGAGTCCAGTGCTCCCAACCATTATGCCACCTGCTGTCCCCAAAAGACAGCAGATTTTTATGTAGTGGAAGTGGGAACCCCTGTAGACTGTCTCTTTTCTCTTTAATAATGACCCTATATCATTAGAGCACAGCATTTTAAAATTTTCAAGTTTTTTTTCAGTTATGATATCATTTTACCTAAGTTATACCTTTCTGAGGTTCATCAATATTATTCATCTTTATTTAGCATTGGAGGAAACTAAAAGCTAAGGGGCTTAAATGACTTGCACAGCTATTAACAACAGTGCTAGGAGTAGAGCTCAAATGCTCCAGGACTTCAGCAAAACTGCTCCCCTGCAACATTGTCACACCATAAAAGGACACACCAAGATTATCACCACCCTATGCAGAATGCAGAGAACCAGTGATATGATAGATGAATGTAAAGGAACTAAATCTATCGGAGTAGCATTATTTTTTTTTGAGAGGTTTTTGCTATAGGGCGTGTGTGCTCACCAGACAGACAGAGAGACAGAAAGTGAGAAATCACCCCCCAGGGGGGATGGCCACACCGTAATCCCTTCTCCTCCATTCTCCTCTTGGGATCTTGGGCATGCACGCACACATGCCCAGTGTGAGTTTAAGCCACCGGGTCCAGGACTCGAACCACAGTCGACTACGTGGGAGTCCAACGACATAGCCATTATGCTAACTGCTGGTCCTGGGAGTATTGGCTCTTCCAGTGACATTTCATTCTAGTTTTAAAGCCGTGAAGGAGAATGGCCTAATAGAAATTCAAAAAGATCCATTTTAGTGCCGATACTCAAACTGTGCTTGAGACAAATGGTTTGGCTTTCTGAGTTTCTTCACCAATAAAATGGAGATTATAATACCTCCTTGACAGAACTGCTGTGAAATTAGCACAGATGTAATTTGCCTGCTGTGTTAGGTCTGTTTACTTTCTGTTGGAAGTCAACATCCTGTTTCATTTTCTTTCAGCTTCTGGGACGTGGGAGAGCCCAACAACCTAGTTACGGTGGAGGACTGTGTTAGCATAAGGGACTCTTCAAACTCAAGGCAAAACTGGAATGATTTACCTTGTTTCTACAACATGTTTCGGATCTGTGAAATGCCAGAAGTGAATACTTTGAACAAAAAACATCTCTAAGAAAAGAAGGCACCACTTCAATGTGTAAGAGGGAGGGAGAAGAGCCTGACCACACCATCTCCAAGATGAGAAAAAGTGCTTTGTATTTCTTTAGGACCCCAGAAGTATTTTTTTCTCTGATATGTATATATATATTTTTTTCAATGCTATAATTGTGCTATAATTCCTGACACTGACTGAACTTCATTTTTCATGAACTGAAAATAAAATTTATTAGTCCATATTAATCAGGTCCTCTTAGAATTTACAAAATAATTCACTAGCAAATGCAGTGAGTAGAAATGATTGCTCCTGTTAGAACATTTGCCTCGGGGCCAGTAGGTGGCGTGGTGGTTAAGGTGTTGGACTCTCATATGGCCAACCGCGAGTGAGTTTCAGACCTGGTGGCTTGCTTTCTCACTTTCCCTCTCTCTCATTCTCTCTCTCTCATTCTGTCCCTCTCTGGTCAAATTAAAAAATAAGTAAATAAATAGATAAAGTTAAATAAAATAACTCTAAAACAAAACAAAAACAAAAACATTTGCCTCATTTGTACGTGTAGGACAGTATAGACAGAGCAAGCAGTGTCTAAGCAAAGAAAAGGATTTTGGAAAGAGCCTTTGAACAATTGCCTTAATGAACTCTCTGTATCACGTGCTTTCTTTTCATAGCTCTGGGAAAGCCTGTCTTCTCTTGATTTCATGCTGTTTTTATCCCTGGCCCAAGCATGTATCACTTCTATGCTCTCCAGTACAGTAAGAAGCTTCTTCAAGTCCTGAAACTTACTCCTTATTTCGAAGATTGGTGTGACCTTTCTGGCCACAGAACTTTCCTCCTTGGGGAAAGGTCATGCTCACTTTCACCTCCAAACAGACTGTATCTGGTCCACTCATCCTGGGAACTCCCTTTTCTCTTTATTCTCTTCTACTGACTAATTGGGTCTCATCTGAATTTGTATTTAGTGCTCCGCTTGGACCAGAGTCAGTCAAATGATTGGAAGAGACATTCAACTTTACACATTCCTCTCCCAAGCTTATTTATTATTATCTAATAGTCTATCAACATGGATAAGATTATTCAAGAATATGTAAATACTGGGGTCACTTTAATAACTGTGTTTCTTATATAGAGTACCCTAAAAGAGATCTCAAAATGCACACCTTGGCATTAATGTGTAATCATTGAATGGGAAAATTTAGCTGAACAAGTGAATATAATATGTTAGCTTTTTTTTTCATAAATGTTTAATTTTCTTAGATGTTGCAACTAAAAGAATAATTAGTCATCAATATTTCCAAGGTGACATTCTCAAAATAAACTACAGTTCAGACTTAAATAGTGCCAGTTGGGTCCACAATTTTTTTAAAAGAAGTATTTCTATAGTTCTGTAAGATGATACATATTCATTATAAAAATTTCTATATAGCATAAAAACATTAAAAACTGTTATAGACACCAGGGACAAAGTGGAATAAGAATATAAGAGGGGAAGAGAATAAGAAAAGAAATTTGGGGAAAAAACTGAGGTAAGACATTTGTGGGACACAGATATGATTTATCTGTTGATGAGGCTGTGTATAATAGTCTCAACTGGGTTGGACTGAGGTGTATATCATGCTGGGTAAAGTCTCTTTATAATCTAAATTATACAGTGATTAAATGTATAGACAATAATAATAATAATAAATTTAAAAATTTTTATATAGCACACTTATGTAAAGATGAAAATAAAAAAAATGAAACCCATGTTAAAGAAGTACTTATCATCCACATTGGTTAAACATTATGTCAGAAATCTATGACTTTGAGACCAGCACATAGTGTAATGGTTATATTGCTGGACTCCCATGTAATCGATCGTGGTTTGATTCCTGCACCTAGTGGCTTAAAACTCAATCCGGGTGTGCGTGTGTATGTGCCCAAAATCCTGAGAGGAGAATGGAGGAGAAAGGATTGCAGCATGACCATCCCTCTTGAGAGGTGATTTCTTGCTTTCTGTCTCTCTATCTCTCTCTGCCTCTCCAGTGACTGCAGATGCCCTGCAGCAAAAATCTCTCTTAAAAAAAAAAAAGAAATCTATAATTTAGATGAGATATAGGAAATGCTATCCTAAATTATGGTATATTGGAAACTGAGAAAACAGCAAAAGCAGGAAGGCCAGTTTCACTGTGCTTTTGCCCTTCTCCTCGAAGCAGGCCATAGAGCCTAGATGTTCACATTGACCTCCTTCTTGTCTCTTCCTACAAAGACCCTCACGTGGGAGGTGTTCTGTTCTATACCTGGAGTGTGTGTGTGTGGGTCATCCTTATAGTCTAGAGGTTAAGGGAGCTGGATCCAATATGGCTGACTGTGTGGTTTGATCCCGGACCTACTGGCTTGAAAAACACTGGGCATGTCTGTAAATTCACACAATTTTCATCCAGTTAAAGATGGAGAACATTTCATCCAAAGTACTTTCCAGTGGGTTCATTGGTTTCAGTGGGAGAAAATTTATGCAGAAAATTTATGCACGAATCTTCAAAGAAATCTGTGATATCATTATTATTTTCTATGGTGCAGTGTTTTTGCTACATGATTATGAACTAAGTTCATATAAGTTAGAAATTTGTTTACTTTGAATATTAAGAAAATGAAGTAACTGATTTTTCTAAAATTTTTTCCTACATTATAGCTTACAGCATTTTTCCATTTATTGCAGGTTTTGCAGCATCCTGGGGGAAAAACAGTAGAAACGTTATATTATTTGATAATAATATCACGTGTGAACTTTTTAAATGGCCCCAAGGGTATAGATTGAGTGGTGCTATCTTGAAATGTGCACAGGTACACTTATTTTTTTTGTTTTGTTTTAGTTTTTCCCATTCAGGAAAACATCACTGAGATTCTATACTATAGAAATCAAATATGATATGTCATATGTGCGTGTATAAAGTACATAAAATATACCTAAATATATATATAATTCAGGGAAGGTGACATTGTGAAATACTGTAAGATGGTTTTCACTTAAAAAATTACTTTCACTTAACACTAGATAACAGGTCAAAAATTTTAAGATTATTGTAATCCTCTAATAAATTTCTAGGATTGTAAGGACCAGCAGTTAGCATAATGGCTATTGCTGGACTCCCACATAGTCGACTGCGGTTTGAGTCCCAGACCTGGTGGCTTAAACTCATGCCGGGTGCATGTGCGTGCGTGCCCAAGATCCCCAGAGGAGAATGGAGGAGAAGGGATTGTGGCATGGTCACCTGCTCCCGGGGGGTGATTTCTCGCTTTCTGTCTCTCTGTCTCTCTCTGTCTATCTGGTGAGCGCACGCACCCTATAGCAAAAACCTCTCCAAAAAAAAAATAATAATAATTTCTAGGATTAATTCTTAAAAAAAAAAAAAAAAAAAAAGAAAGAAAAAAGAAAAGCACGCTGGACACATGTGAATGCACACCCATATCTGAACAGGATGGAGAAATGGAGGAGACCATGCCCAGGTGGTTGGGTGGTGCTTTCACCCTCTCTCTGCCTTTATCTCTGTTTCTTTCTGGCAAGGGCAAGTACCCTGTGGCGAATATATTTATATCTGGAAGGAAGGAATGTCACACAGAAAAGTCAAGATGAGCCTAAATAAACGGATCTTGCTAAATTCTTCCCAGTGTTTTTATCATTAGGTCATATCCCTTTTTGCAAAATGATGTTTTTCAACAATTGTCCATCTTTTCATCAGACATTGTATAAAATGTAAACAAAGTCCCTTGTTTGAGTCTTCATTTCTGAAACCTCGTGTGTCATGTAACACTTACATTAAATAAATTTATATGCTTTTCTTTTGGTAAACTGTCTTCTGTTATAGGACTTCAGCCATTGATTTTTATGGTTGATGAGAAAAGGATATTACTTTTTCTCTCCCACAACTTTAAGGTGAAACAATAAGAGGTAAAAAATATTTAGACAAGGACAGCAGTTGACGTAATGGCTATGTCGTTGGATTCCCATGTAGTTGACCACAGTTCAAGTCCTGGACCCGGTGGCTTAAACTCACGCCGGGAACGTGTGCGTGTGTGCCCAAGATCCTGAGAGGAGAATGGAGGAGAAGGGATTGTGGCGTGGCCACCCCCCCTGGGGGGTGATTTCTCCCTTTCTGTTTCTCTATCTCTCTCTGTCTGTCAGGAGAGCGTGCGTACCCTATAGCAAAAACCTCTCCAAAAAAAAAACCAAACCATATTTAGACAAATATGGATAGATATACATTTGTGTGTGTATATGCATATAACTTTCACTTAACACTAGACACCAGGTCAAAATTTTTTAAGATTGTTATAATTCTCTAATAAATTTCTAGAATTAATTCTTAAAAAAAAGGAAAAAGTTAAAAAAAGAAAAGCACACTGGACATATATGAATGCACATAAATTTCTATACATATATGCATATATATGTACAAATTTCTATACATATATACATAAGTATGTATATATGCACACTGATATGAATATATTGACTTACAAAGCAATCACAAAATAGGTGATACTTTTTAAATATTAAATTTAATTTTACCTGAACTTAATAAGTACAAATATTAAGTAAAATGAAAGGATCTTGAACTCTAAGAATTTTATATGCTTCATAGATAACCACATAAAACTACTTTTCAAAAGTCCCTTTGGGCAGCAGCAGCC